GTGTGTGTGTGTGTGTGTGTGTGTGTGTGTGTGTGTGTGTAGGTCAGAGGAAAATTTGCAGGAGTCCTTTCTCTCCTCCCTCCGTGTGAGTCAGGCTTGGCTTTAGATGGTAACCCATCTCACTGAGCCCAAGCTTCAATCTTTTAATCCCATGGTGATATAAGACAGCCCAAGCCCTCTGGTCGTCTTACATGTACCTACAGGAAGGATGCAAATGATAAGAATATCAGATCATTTCAAGAAGAAATAGACATTAAGAAAGCTACAGAAATAAAGATTTGAGAACTATATCAATAATAATGGTTTCCCTTAATATAGCAATAAATAATAGGAATTTATAGGTAAACCTACCAGACGCACTCAATCATGCAATTAAAAAATCCTATCCTGTGGACCCAGCTGCTAAGATCTGTGTTCTACAGAAATAGAGAGGGAGGGTAAAAGAGTCCAAATAAGTCGGGGCTACGTGCCTACCATCCCAGCCACTTGAAGGGCAAGAACTCAGCAATATTCTGTGGAAGAGATCAACATAGGATGACTTTCTGGACTGAAAGATCTTAATTCCTGTTCCTAACCAGGAACAAGAAAATGATTTTTAGGGACTGGGAAGATGGCTCAGTGGTTAAGTGCTCTCTCAGAGGACCCAAATTCCATTTTTAGTTCTCACCTGGTAGCTCACAACCATCTGTAACTCCATTTCCAGGCAACCTAATGTCCTCTTTTGGTGTCTTTGAGCATATATGTGGTACACAGACATATATGCAAGCAAAACATTCATATGCATAAAATAAAAATAATGAATCTTTTTTCTAAGGGAAATTTTTTAGTGTGAAAGCAGAGGTAGATTTTCCCAGCCCATGGCCCTTGGGAGTCCTAATGAAATGATGGGTTGAGGGGTGCACACTTGGCCTTAGGGAGTGTGTCACCTCTTCAAGCCATAGGCAGGGTGTGAGTGGCTAGCAACAGAGCTGCCTTGTGGCTCTGCCATTTAAGGCTTTGCTCCCTCCTCCTTACGGCAGGTAGAGAGATTGGCAATCCGGGATATAGTTGTGCTTCACCTCTGCAAGTTTAAGACTCGTCCTGTATCTCTTGGCCTGGACCTCCCCACTAAGACTCAAGCCACTTGGCTTATCTTTGAGATACTGTCAGGAGGTATATTTCTGCTGTGGACATCACTCTGTATGCTGTGAATGTGTCGCTCTGATTGGTTGATAAATAAAATGCTGATTGGCCAGTAGCCAAGCAGGAAGTATAGGTAGAATAAACAGATGAGGAGAATTCTGAGAAGAGGAAGGCTGAATGGGAGACACCAGCCCACCGTCCAGGGAGCAGCATGTAACAACACCCAGACAAAGCCACAGAACATATGGCAACATATAGATTAACAGAAATGGGCTGAGTTTAAGTGTAAGAGCTAGTCAGTGGTAGGCCTGAGCTAATAGCTGACCAGTTTTAACTAATATAAGCTTTTGAGTGATTATAAGTGGCTGTGGGGTCTGTGGGGTTTGGCAGGATCAGAGAAAACTTCAGCTACATATTTCCATCTGTGCACATTCTAATCAACTCTCCTTAGGAGCCCAGAGCTTGCTGGGTTCATTGTCTTAAAGAGGATGCATCTCCCATTCCACATAGGGTGAAAGCAAGCAGACGTTTTGACCCTTCCATCCTCCCTGCCTCTTGTCCCTGCCCTTGTTCTATCCTTCTCCACTACCCCTCTACTCCCTCACCCCTCCACCCTTCTTCCCTTCTCACCCCTCCGCTCCATTGTTTACTCTCCCCTTCCCTCTTTAGCCTTCCTCATCTTTTTACACTCTCTTCCACTTCTTCCTTCCTCACCCCTCTGTATCTCTGGACAGCTCTCTTTCTCCTCACCCCTTACACCTTCCTCTATTCTCTTTCACCTCTCCTCATCTCTTCTCAACCTGAATTTACTCCTTCTATGGCCCTACTCTGCCTTGCCCTTCCATATCACTCCCCACCCCCTCTCTCTTCCTCAACCTTTCTCCCAGGACCCCCAACTCTCCAGTCTAGAATGTTGGGAATTCTACCTCAGTATAATTGACTTCACTCTCCCTACTCAAGCCCAAAGGTTTGGATAATTCCCAACGATCTTAAAACACAACACTAGATGGTCATAATTATTTCATATTGTCTCTGTTTGTTGAAATATCTATCGCACTGTGCACCATATGCACACTAATTGCTTGTCTGGATGCTATGAGAAAGTACCTGGCATGAGTAACTTAAAGGAAGGAGTTATTTCAGCTTATGCTTTTACAGGATTCAGTACCTGATTGCTTTAACCCATGTACTTGGCAAGAATACCACAGTGGCATACAGGACCATGTGGCGGGGGAGATTCTTGACATTACAGTGGACAGGAAACAGAAGGAAAAAGGGACCTAGAAAAAGATACAGTCCCTAAAAGCATGCCTGAAGTGACTTATTACCTCTAGCTATGACCTACTTTGGACAGATTCCAGAATCTCACAAAAGAGTGTCATGCTGTTATTTTGCTTGGGGATCAGCCCTTCGCTCCATTAGACATCTGAGGAAAACTCTTTATATCCAAATGGTAATCACAGGCTTATACCATTTCTGTTTGTGACTAATGTCTCAGTAAAACAACTGTACACACACTCAAAACCACCAGTGGCCTGCTCTCGTTTGTCCTTGGGAGAACATGGTGTTCCTGTGGCTTAAGACCCTGGCTTCTTTGCAGTCACCTCGTAGGCGTTTTAACCCTCCCAGTTGAATGTCATACCCGCCCCAGCCTCACCCTCTGATGAGGCCCTTCTCAAATATTCATCTGTGCCTGGACAGTGATTTCCTCCTAGCTTTACCTAATTGAATCCCATCCCTGCTCGCTCTGCAGGCTCAGCAGGGGAGTCAATTCTTGATTTTGCCAATGGGCCAAATTCCATGCTGGAAGACCTTGGTGCTCCCTGTTCTTCTTTGAAGTCCCTTTCACAACTGTAATTTAACTCTGTTCCTGTCGTATGGAATGACTGTCTCCACCCTGGGACTGTAAGTCCCACACAGGCACAGACAGTTCCTGGTTTTGCACTCTGTATTTTCAGATTGGAAGAGTAAATAGTAAGTGAGATCATAGCTGAGCAGGAGATTGTTAATGGCATTTTGTGATCACTGTGCCTAGGAAAGGACTGACCATTCGGTCTCTGACCACACTTACCCATTGTGGTTTGTCCAATTTAGGAAAAAGAAAAAGTCAGACAGGAAAAGAGAGAGAGAGAGAGAGAGAGAGAGAGAGAGAGAGAGAGAGAGAGAGAAGGAAACAGCTGTATTTTAAAAAGTCACTAGCAAGTGAGCCTGTAAAATCATTGATAACATTTGATTCTGTAGATATTAACTTTGAACATTTACCCAGACCTTTTAATTCACAGTTTCCACCATTTCAATCACAAGACAAAGGCAGGCATGTATACATTCTGCATGAGAATCTCCAGCTGACTTTCCCTCTGCTCCTCTTTGGTGACCCTGTTTCAGTTTGGGTTTTTTTTTGGGGGGGGGGCGGTTCTTGGTACGATTGGGCCTTACCTGAGAACACACTGACAGAAGCTGTCTCCTGAGCTTGGAGGGCACTGGGTTTAGGGACTGCTTTGCGCAAACCCCAGCTCTGAAATGTCTTGGAATTCAAGATAATTCACCTCACAGCCAGCTCTGCTGGCTCTTTAAGATTTCTATTGTTTTTCACCAATGTCGTTCACATAACCTACCTGAAACTTTGGGAACAAATTTAGTGAAAGAAGCCAAATTTATTGTCAAGTGTCTGGTTTCCTCAGCATGCTGGAGAAGGAAGGTTCCCTCTCTGGAGCTATACACCCTGAGTGGAAGTTGGAGCTCGGGGCAAAGCTAGATTTGTGTTTGCTGATGTTTGCTTCGTACTCTACATCTGCATTAAAATTCTTAAGTTACACAAAATTTCCAAAGGCAGTGGGAACAAGAAGTGATTATACATCCGTGGGGAATTGGGCGATACTGTAAATCAGCCACTCTGGCTCCAAGGACTGACCTGACAGCTCGGCCTTTACATTTTCAAACATAATTCAGCTTCAGCCCTGGGTTCATCGATGACTCTTCTTCCCAGAAGACCACAGAGAACATTTTGAGCGCTTTTGGATTACAGTTTATTAAAATTCCTAAATCATCTAAAAAGGAAATATGACCTGAGAAAAACAAGCACGTTTTAAAAGTGCCAATCAGAGTAAAGCCTGGTGTTTTACACCAAACGACTAATTGTGAATTGGGCTGCAACAGCAACAGTAAACAAACAAACAAACAAACAAACAAACAAGCCAGAGGATCACTCCAGGCTTCCATTGACTTTAAACCACATACACATCACCATATAAGAAGTATATTGTACTTAAGAGCATGTCTGTACAGTCACTGTGTAACATAATATGGAGAAACTCGAGGCCGACTTTCAACATCTGTGGCAGAAACGTCAGCAATTTTCCTGTGAATTAGGACCTGTCTGAATTAGCAGCCCGGTTAGACAGCCAGTTTGGATAATTCAGACCCAAAGTGGTATCTCAGGTCTGATTTATTTTCTTTGGCTGTCTAGATAATTCAAGTTACTAGACAGTCACCAGTGGACAGTCACTCATGGGGAAGTGTTTCTCGTGTGGATGTCTCCTTCCTAGCGAGCGTTTAAGTGAGAGGGTGAGGCGCCCCTTTCCCTGTGATGGAATGAAGGCCTTCAGAAGGGCTCACATTTTTCTTTTCATTCTTGAAATCCAGACAGCAGTGGGAACCTCATGAGCCCTGGAAAGCCCCTGGTGGCAATTGTGGGATGAAATGTCTTAATTGACGAAAGAGCCCCTTGGCTAAATTCTCATCTTTGTAGAACTTGTCACAAGTGTTCAGTTTCAAGCCAGAAACCTGCCAGAATGAGGGCCAATCACTAATGACAGAAAGATTAGGAGGGTGTGGATCAGTTGGCTGCTCCACAGTACATAATGAGACAAAATGCTGGCGAGTCAACTCAGGGCAGTTGACCCCTGGCCAATGTGTAACAGGAGGGGACCACAGTATCAAATGCCTACCACCTCACCCTGGCATTTTTAGCACAGAAAGCAACAATTTGTCTTTCTCTTATGAAAATAAAAATGTGGTACTCCAGCATATCCTTTGTTGCATATCCACACTGTTCAGACTGAGGAAGATGGGGGAATGAGAACATGAAGATGACTTCACATTACTGACTTAAAAGATTCTGTGGAAGAGACCCCCTTTAGTCCAGTAACACATGCATTATATCCCAGCTGTGAACCGTCTTCAAGAAAAATCTTTGCATCTCTGCGTTACATGTGAGGATAGAAGCAAGTCATTTCCAGTTAGCAGATGGACAATTCAGAGTTAAGGATGGACCTGATCATCACTGCCATGCTTCAGTCTGTGATTCCACCTTGTTCCTGATGTTGAGGCTGGTTGTTCATAGCTTTGGGTTAGGAAGATAGAGTGAAGAACATTTCCCATTTATCTCCTTGTAGCCAGTTCTGTGGGAAGAAGGCAGGAGAGGAAGTCAGTAGGAATTGGATCCAGTCTATATCCATCTTGCTCTATTCTTAGCCTAGAAAAGAGGTTGGAATTTGGCTAAGGAGACTTTTTGAATATTTATATGGTTACTTTAGCCAATGACTATCTACATGCACAATTATACCACATAACCCAAGTGTGTAGGATAGAGGCTTTTGTAAGTGAATTGTGCGATATTTGTACATGACGCAATGGCCCCAATAACACATTGATCACAATGACACTTTGTTGCTTTGTGACAGCACAGTCTTTATCCCCATCAACATAGATATGATTGGAAAAATCATTAATACATATTTGATTTTTCTGACTCTCAGTGAGGGGCTTCTGTCTTGGCCTACCCCTTTTGCTAGTATTTACTGGACAGAGATAAAGTCATGGGAGAGTGATGGAGCATCTGGAAGGAGCTGGTTGATATTCACAGAGCAATAGGAAAAGAGAAAGGAAGAGACGGACCAAAGGAATTTATTGATTAATCAATTAATCTTGGCATGGAGTAACTTGGAGAGAACTGGGAGAGAAGCTGTGGGGAGACTTGATTTTTTTTCTGTCGGCTTAGCAGCTGCACATGAATCTATTGATACTTAAATTTTTCTCTGTGGGGTGTGAGTGGGGGAGTGGCCAATGGCCCCTCAGTCAGTGCCCCACCAGCCACTCAGGCCTGGTGAAGCTTCTGGTCCCACAGCCCTGGCTCTGCTGCTGCCACAAATTAAGTCTCTATTGTTCTTTTTATCAATAACATTCAGAAGTCAAAGGCTGGGGTGAAAACCTGCTAGCTCAGAGAGGCTGAGTAGCAACTAATGACCTTGCTTTTTGGCTGGAGACACTGCCGGAGACTCATCTCTTCCCTCTTCTCAGGACCTAAGGAAGCCAAATTGCCATCCCTGCCCTTTCCTTCCTGTGAGTCTTCTCTACCCAAATTGCTGGCTTCTCTATGACCAATTCCAGTCAGCTAGTTGCTGGCTCCACCCCCTGATTCAAGATATAACTTTATTGGGCAGTCTTAGGAGTGTCAGGATTCGATGAAAATGTCCCACAACAGAGACTGATGTCTGACTGGAATATTAAAAGGAAGAGAACTGTGGGGAAAAACTTTCCTGAGTCTGTTGTGCATCTGTTTCATCATTTGGTTCACAGAACTCAGTTTGCATCTTAAGGCATTCTACCAAAACAATATCTATGGTTTTTCTAATATAAATTGGTTTTTTGTATATATTCATACCTCACTAAAATAGGCATCAAAGCAACAGTGTTGCTGTGGGTGATGTAGGTAACAAGCCATGTCTAAACGATGCTGGACATCAGTGGAAGGAAGTAACTGTGTCAAGGACTACATGCCCAGATGATTGCATTGTGCTGAGTTCAGCTTCCCACACTTGAATCTGAGGTGATGATTATGTAGCTATCCAACAATTGAAGCTCCGTGCCCACTAAGTTAGTAGAGTTAGAGCCCTTGTAAAATTGCTGGGAATGACTAAATTGAGGGTAAATGCAGTCATGTATCACTTAGTGATGGGATTTGCCCTGAGAAATCTGCTGCTAGGAGCCTTTGCTGTGGTGTGAACCATACTCACACAAACCTAGATGATAGACATAGACATACCTAGGCTGTATGAAACACACACACACACACACACACACACACACACACACACACACACACACACACACACAGACTACAGCCTATTCTAGCCTTCTAGGGCTATAATGAACAAAATAGCAAAAGGAAATAATATAAAGAGACACAGTAAACAAGAGATGGCTGAGGCAACTGCTGGTGCCACACTGGCTTTGCAGCTATCTATCTTTCTAAGCAAAAGGAGCACATTCTAAAACATTGTGGAAAGGACAGGTAGTACAGTCTCATGAACTGACCGTGTATTTTTTCATTATCGTTATCAAGTGTCATGCTGTGCAATCCTATGGCTGTGCCTTTGTGATGCTGATTGCAGTGTGTTCACACCTGTGTTACCACACACAAGAGGAACGAATTAGACCACATCACTGTGGCAACTCTGATATCACTAGGTAACGGGAATTTCCAGTTTGATTATGATTGTCTGTGGCTACCCATTGCACATGCACCCACCACAGACTGAAACAAAGTGGCTTCTTATAAACCTTGTATGTGACTAAGGGAGGGCAGGAATTTTAAACCCCAAACAACACAGTTTCCTGTTGTTAAAACAGCTGCTGTTTTCAAAACCAAAACAATTACCATAAAATGACACCATTGGTGTTTGTATGGCGATTTTCCATCTATACAAAGGAATTTTCACTAATACATTAAAAAAAATCCTTTCTGGGCATAAAACAGGTTTGGCCATGAAAATATGCCATCTTTTGCTCTTGACTGAATGTGACTTCTAGATTCATGACCTCACAGGCCTCTCACTTCTGTTGTCAAAGTGGTAAAGTTTGACTTTGGAGAATCTGTATAACATTTTCAGTTTGTATAATAAGCAAGTGCCCAGTGACATACTCCATGTGGATTCCAGGATGCCACCATTGCCTGGCATGCTCTGCCCATACCCTGCCAAGTGTTGCCACCTATCTTGATGACAGCTTTAAGCAATCTCAGAACGACGCCATGCTTAATCTCAAGATGCTGAAAGACTTATCTAAAGTGTCCTGCATACCAGCACTCAGTGAAGTCATCACTCTTAAAAACATGAGCAGATCAGAGTTTTATATATGCTGTGGGCAGGGAGCCAGCAGTTTCTGGGAAACATGAACGGTAAAGATCTCTATCTCTTCTGTTTTCATAGAGTGAGATCTCATTTTGCTCAAATGATTGCTCTTAAACCTAGCCAAAGAGCTTGCGTTTAGAGAGCAGAGGCCACGCCTGCAGAATCACCTGAATGTCCTCATTTGCCTCATCCTGGTGAGGTCAGCTCTGGATGCAACGGGCTTGACATCTTTGTCATCAAGATATCAATGGGTGCAGCATGTTTTTACCTCCAGATCCCATACAACTGGTTCTGGTTACCAGATACAGTTACTAGGCACGGATAGTGGAATTGGAAGTTGGTATATAAGAATTCTCCATAGGGTTGGTGAAATGGCTTTGCAGTTTAAAGCACATACAACTGTAGCTAGAGTTTTTCTGGTCCTGCCTGGCCCACAGTCAGGACAAATCTCTCTCACCCATCAGTCCCACAGCCACTCAGACCCAACCAAGTAAACACACAGAGACTTATATTACCTATAAACTGTATGGCTGCGGTAGGCTTCTAGCTAGCTGTTCTTATATCTTAAATTAACCCATTTCTATTAATCTATAAGTTGCCACATAGCTCATGGCTTACCAGTACCTTACATCTTGCTTTTCATGGCAGTGTCTGGCAGTGTCTCTCTGCCTCAGCCTTCCACTTCCCAGAATTCTCCTCTCTCCTTGTCCCGCCTATACTTCCTGCCTGGCTACTGGCCAATCAGTGTTTTATTTATTAACCAATCAGAGCAACACATTTAACATACAGAACATCCCACAGCATATTACTCTTCCAGAGGACCTGAGTTTAATTCCCAACACCTACATCAGGTAGCTCACAGCTGCTTATAACTACAGTTCCAGGGAGACCCAAATGCTCTGCTCTCTACAAGCACCTGAACTCACATGTACATACCCATAAGTACATATATACACATAATTTAAAACAATAAAAATAAACTTAAAAAGAATCCCCCTTGGGACTTCATGTATATCCATATATACAACTAATAGAATCCTGGAGTTAGCTATTTACTAATGATTTTCCCTGTTCATTTTGTAACCCATTCCTGGCCTCTCTTGGGTTAATTTATTTCTTTTTCAAGCCTGTCTTTTATGTTTGTTTTAACCAGGGTTGATGCAAAAATGCTAAACAAGTGTTAGGGTTTGAATCGGAAATGTGTGTGTGTGTGTGTGTGTGTGTGTGTGTGTGTCCCCGCACCACAGCCTTCTATTTTGAGAGCTTCTTTCTCTGCCTGTGATGTTATTTTGGGAGGCTGTGGACCCTTCCGGAGTTGGAGCCTGGCTGTCAGAAATAGATACTGAACATCAGGCCTTTGAAGGCTGTATCTGCCCCTGGTGTCTACCTTGTTCTTGGCTTCCTGGTCCACAGTAATGTGAACAGACTCTACCATATGTTCCTGCTGCCATGAACTGAGCTGTCCCACGGTGCCTCCCTTGCCAAGACAACTGAGACCTCTGAAGCCACGGGCCAGAATACATCTTCCTTCCCTTCTGTCATGCATCTGTCACAGAGATGTAAAGTCACAGGAGTGACATGGAGAAACAGTAAGACATACATTGGTTTGCTTTTAATCATCTCCCCACACTTGATATCATGACCCCCTCTTTTTGTTTAGTGCTGTGGGATTCCATGTTTCCTCCTTCCTAGTTAAAATTTCAACCCATGAATTGCACAAGTCAACATACATTACAATTTTAAAAATTGAGAGCATATTTAAGATATCCTGAATATTAGTTGGAGAATATATTTTCTTGAATGTAACAAAACCTGAAGATATTTATGTAATAATCTATTTGAGTCAGATAACACGAAATTTTAGTGTAGTTGAAAGAGACCTGATACTTGCTTTATCTACCCATCTTCCTGCTCTGTTATCATCATTGGTGTGGAAGTTTCACCCTTACGCTTACAAGATGGATGCTGTATTTCCATGTGCTGCATTTGTGTTCTAGGAGAAAAGGAGATGAAAGGATGAAAGAGAACCAGAAGGCTAAAAAAGGGGCAAAGGACTGAACCTTTCCTCTTCCAGAGACTTCCCAGACATTTAACTTTTAGACATCCACTCACATCTCATAGCACCCTTTGCTGCACAAATTCTCCAGCTTCTATACTGGAGGAGGGAGTGCCTGTCATCATGAGAACTTTAAAAACATACCATATTATTTCATGTATGTTGGTGTTTTGCCTGCTTGTCTGTATCTGCAAGGCCAGAAAAGGGAGTCAGA